TAGAAGTGCTTGGTTATATATTCATATTTTATTACAATTGATATGTTTTTACGCGTGTCTTAATACTGGTTCTAGAATACTGTAGCTTCCTTTATAGCGGTTGAATGTAACAAAAATTGGAATTATTACATAATGAAGGAATTATGACGATAATCTCGTGAGCCTTTCTCGTATTTCTCTTCCTTTTTTGGTTTTTTTTTTAAGTTTAACTTACATGTTTGAATTAGCTTAGGAGTATTTTGATTAATTTTATAAATTTTAAAATTAATAATTATATAAACTTATAATAATTTTAAAATTTATAATACTCAAATTAGTAATTTCTAAAAATTAAATTCAGAATATAATTATATCCTTCTTCTTCTAAGACAATCGGTTAAATTATGCATTTCTGCTCTAATTCATCAATTCATCCTTGGATTGCTTTAGTGCGGGAACCATCTCAGTAGCTATTGCAGCAATTTTTATACTAATGATAAGAACAATAAAATTAGTTTATGTATAATTTAAGATTATTTATCATGTTTAACTTTAAAACATCTAGTATTACTAATTACAAAATTAGTCGTGATTTCCATTGGTCCTTGTGAATGGGTGTGAAGGAATCGGCACCGGCTGGAACCTCTACAAAATGGCAATTAAAAAAAAAAACATTTTTAGTAGTTAAATATTACATTTAGGATTATTTTTTGGCATACCAAATGATGTTAAACAATCGAACTATGTAATATATTTTCATGGATAGTTGAATTCAATCAAACATCATTTCTAGTAATAAAAATATAAAATACGAAACTTAATGAAATTAAAATATGCTAGCAAATGATTGCTTATCTTAAATAAATATATAACAGAGAATCACACAGAAGCATGTGATAAAATAACTAGTAAAAAAATTGATATCTATAATATATTTGTGCTTATAGTTTTCAGCAATGAATTATATTGAGATTGGTGCATTTATATCTGATTTCGTATGCTATATTCACCTTTTTACTTATTTATTTATTTTTACTTTTCGAGAAAGAGTAAATGTGATTTAGGTACTGTTTGATATTTTAATAGTAATTAATTTTTAAAGTATTTTTTATTTATAAATATATTAAAATAATTTTTTTTTATTTTTTAAAATTTATCTTTAACATACAATAAAATAATTTAAAATTACTAAACAAAATTAATTTCAAATAAAAAAAATTAAAAACTTTGACATATTGCCAAACGAGTTTTTGCACCAAGAGATGCTTCCTTGCTTCGTGGAGAATTTTGGTTAGCTTAAAGCCTTAAACAAGTCACACGCTAAACCAATGGACCCCACGAACGGAAAATTAAGAGTAATGGCTGAAATTACATAAACGCCGGTGCCATGGAACGTGGAGAAAAGTGCGGCTTTGAGTGATCAGAGGCAAAGACAAAATGTATATATCTTGGTGGTGAGGATTTGGGATCAAGAGGTTTGTTTTTTTTGTAGTTTTAGATTCGAGTTTTTAATTGCTTATATGATAGCTACTGGAAGTTTACATGATCGTTAACTTCAGGATCCATAAAATTAGTTGTGATACGCATAAACTAACCCAGACACGTAGATTAATTTAAAAAAAATATATCATATCTTCTGCTACCCTTTTCTCATACTGCACATGTTCACCCAGCTCCCTCAACTTTGTCCTCTTCACGCTATAAATATAAGCATTTCCTTTCCCTTTTCCTCTCCCATATCAAAAACACTTTACCTCTCTCCTTCAGAACACAAAGCCTAGCTTGTGTCCATTTCTTCTGTGAAAATGGCCGTGGGGATCTCACTTTTGCTTACATCATTCTTGCTTTTCACTACCTCTGCTTTAGCTGCTACTTACATGGAAGGTAATGCTAGCTAAGTGCTAATTTCTCTGTTTAATGTTCTGACCCCATTCAGTGGGCTTAGACAATGAAGATTTAACATAATGGTCACGGTGTGCTCATTTGAGTTGGGGAGTTTTGTGCTTTGTTCTCTCTTTTTGCGTGTATAATCTGTGCTTATAGTGCAAAATTGACATTGTATGCTTGGTTCTTGGCAGTTAATGCCTGGTTTAATCTGATAAACTTCAAGGCCGAATCTTTATGCTTCATGCTTATTCAACCTTCTTTCAGGGGTTTAATGTTCGTTGCAGTATCTTACTTCTCCCTGTCATCTTTAATTGCTAATCACAGTTTTATGTTTATTCAACCTTCTTTCAGGGATTTAATGTTTGTTGCAGTATCTTACTTCTCCCTGTCATCTTTGCTTGCTCATTACAGTTTTATTTCCATTTTCAAAGATTTCCAAAAATGAAAGGTAGATTAATTTTAGGTTTAGAGTGGCCAACAAAGAAAGAGAGATTTAGATTTGGTTCTCTACATTCTCTAGCACGTTTCTTTGCTGATTACTAGTTCCACAGTCTCATTTTGACTCGGTCTGATCTCTTTCTTCAGGCTTTCTAAAAAATGGCAACTTTGAAGAGAAACCAAAACCTGGTGCGATCAAGAAAACAGTCCTTAAAGGAAAATATGCGCTTCCCAGCTGGGAAATCAATGGATTCGTAGAGTACATCTCTGCCGGGCCACAACCTGGTGGCATGTACTTTAATGTGGCTCATGGTGTTCATGCAGTAAGGCTAGGCAATGAGGCCTCGATTTCTCAAACAATAACAATAAAAGCAGGCTCTCTGTATGCCCTCACATTTGGTGCATCAAGAACTTGTGCCCAAGATGAGGTGTTGAGAGTCTCAGTTGGGACCGTGTTTGGGGACCTGCCCTTGCAGACACTGTATAGTAGCAATGGCGGAGACACTTATGCTTGGGGATTTAAACTCAATGCCACTGTTGTTAAAGTGACATTTCACAATACCGGGGTCCAAGAGGACCCTGCGTGTGGACCACTCATTGATGCAGTTGCTATCAAGGAGCTCTTTCCACCAATGCCCACAAGAGGTAATGGAAACTAATTAGTATTATAATGTCCTGTTTTTGGTATGGAGAATTTGCTGGCCGGTTGTTTTAGTTTCATTTTTGAGATTTCTTATTTGATTTAGTTTTGCTAGTTCATTCACTGAATCACTTGTTTCGGTGGCGTTGAATGTCAAGGCTGTTGCATTTGTAGATATTGTCTTGGATCTTCAAGTTTCAACGATTTACAATTGATAGCTTTCCACAGACATTGTTTAGTGGATCTGAGATTTTTCTTGCTCTGTTAACTGGTTGGTTTTTGAAGATAGCATTTGATCTGAGATACTATCCCTTTGATAATTTTGTCAAACACAGGATACATTTGGTTCGAGAAGCAGTGCTGTTGATCCATTTAAAGTTCTAAACACCTCCCTATTCTCTTTGTGAATGGTTGCAATTGGTGACCAGTATGTCTGTGTAGTTGATAATTAAAACATGTAAAATATTCAAAATTTGCCTGCATCTGCTTATGTATGACTCTGATTATAGCTTCCCTGGTCTCATCGATGGTTGTAAATGTTATCTTGTAGATAACCTTGTAAAGAATCATGGCTTTGAGGAGGGTCCTCATCGGTTAGTAAACACATCCAGTGGTGTCCTCCTCCCTCCAAGACAAGAAGATCTCACATCTCCACTTCCCGGCTGGATGATCGAATCACTTAAAGCTGTGAAGTTCATTGACAAAAAGCACTTCAACGTTCCTTTCGGGCTCGCTGCTGTCGAGCTTGTTGCAGGGAGAGAGAGTGCAATTGCCCAAATCCTCAGAACAATTCCCGACAAAGTCTACGGTCTCACATTCACCATCGGGGACGCAAGAAATGGTTGCCATGGATCAATGATGGTCGAGGCATTCGCTGCTAAGGATACCTTCAAAGTTCCATTCGAATCCAAGGGAAAGGGTGAATTCAAGACCGTAAGTTTCAAGTTCAAAGCCGTTACAGCTCGGACAAGAATTACGTTTTACAGCTCATACTACCATACTAGGATTGATGACTTCGGATCCCTCTGTGGTCCTATACTCGATGAAGTTAGGGTATTCCCTATTGCTTAGATGTTATCTCTGTAGCAGCAGGCTACACCTTTGTGGTTTTTTACAGACAAGTCACATCATCTGTTGAGGCACATGCTTCGCTTTTGTATCTAAGCTAGGGCATGTGGTCTTTTACTGTATTGTATGATGTTGTCTTCACGTGGTGTCGGCAGAAGGAGCCTTATGGATAAGAGGGTAGTAGAAACTATATGTGGTTTATTTCTAGGACATGTAATGGCAACAACTGAACTTTATTTACCCAGCGGGTATGATTACAGCTTCAAAATTCCAAAGAAGACTTGGCCTATGACAACGTGACCAGTCCATCAATATGGTTGCCAGTAAGCTTTGTACTCTCTCTTTTTTTTGGGTGAATGGCGAGGGCATTTTCCTTCCAAATCAGATTTTAGAGCGTGCTGGCAAATCCAATTATTAATTACAGCAAACCTACATTTGATTTGATTTTTAAAGAGTTATTTATTTAGAAATATATTAAAATAGTATTTTTTATTTTTTAAATTTTATTTTTAATATCATCACATCTAAATAATTTAAAAATATAAAAAACTTTATTTCAAACAACTTAGAGCAATCCTAAACACCCCATGGTGTTTCAATCAATGGCATGATTAGCGATAAACCCGTCGGCTTGAGGTTCAAAATAATGTACCGATATTGGGGGCGGGCCTCAACATGTTCAATTACACGCACAAGTGTTTTGATGAATCGAAAGATACAAATTTCAGGATGGACCGCTATTGTGCTTGAAGAAAAACTTGGTTCCATGGTTCATCGTCAGGTGTGACTCTCTCTGTCTCTTTCGAAAACAGAAGGGACCAAAAAGCCCAAAAAAAACAGCACCACCACTCAGTTCGTTTGTTACATTCAGTATTCATCATTAAGCCTGTTATCCAGGACCGTCTTTTTTAAAAAAAAAAAAAAAAAAAAAGAGAAAAGGAAGGAGAAAAGGAGGAAAATGCGTTCTATATCACCATCCCAACAGCACTGAAAGTAATTTCACAGAGAAGTGTGTGCACATAATTATTTATCATATCAATAATGTTAATACATTTATGCTGCGGATGACAATCTTGTACGTAACAAATACAAGGAACCCTGTCAGCCAACCGGGATAGTGTTATTGCCCCTATCCAAAAAATGTTAGGACATAACTGCCATGATAAGCTTACAAAGTTTCAATAGGAAAATTACAGATTTAACTTTGCTTCACCAGATCATCACGTCAAAACGGCTAAGAAAAGCTGCCTTCACTGACCTACATCCAAAGTGCCCACAAGGCACTTCTCCAGCAAGAATTCAGCATTCACCCAGGCATGGTATTTGTCTGAAATAAAGAGTTGAGGATTGCAATTTGTGCAGTAAATCTTAACAGTTTAAAAACAGAAATCTTGCCATGCTTTGGAAATCCGTTCCCTTTTTTACCCTTGAAAGCGAAATCACGAAGTACAGCTTCTTAATCAAGATAGACTTAAACTAAACTGATAGGCTTTTCTAAGGATTGAGCTTGGCCATGGTTAGCGACGTCAATGGTGAAATAGAAGACAACTCAATGTTGGGTCATCCAGTTTAAATAATAGCTTCAAAGAAAAATAATGCACAAATTCATCTCTGGTCACAACCTCTAAAAATCACCAAGAAAAAGAATCCATAAAAGGATACTGAATAAAGATGTACAGTCTTTTCCTACTGCCTTCATCAGTATATCAACACCTGAAAAAAGGGAGTTTGTCAAATAATCATAGCAAATAGTGAGAATATGAAACTCTAACAAATGGACAGCAGCACAGACACCATATGGCAGTGGCTCTTGAAATGAAAAAAGCCTCCATAACCAAGCTGTATTTTACTATTTTAGTTATGGCATGGGAGGCAAACTTTTGCAGATTATATGCAGATCGTTATGCAATTGAAAGTTGAAACAGGCTGGTGCTGCATAATAGATAGACCAATAGAGGAAGAGCACCTTATGGTGCTTCAGGCATGATTAACTAATCATCGTGATCAGCGTGTCCATGATATGTGCTTGTGCATGCGATTGTACATGTCTAATTCAAACAACTGATAGTCTAACACATGTAAATCACATACATGTTGGAGATATTGTAAGAAGCAACAGTAATGAAGTCATTCAATTTTAATCAAGGTAGGCAAAACTAAAATCACAAAATATTTTATGTATGGACATAAGATAATGCACACACCTCCTGGATGAAACTTGAGGTATGGAGACAAATTGTAGACACGACCTTTTAAAACAGTCCACATGGATCCTTCTGTTTGGTGTTGTTTAACTTCATCCATGGAAATAAGCCTCTTGTTGGACTGTCCCGTCAATCCTGGAAACACAATTTATAAATCATGAAGGGAAAGCTGAATAGCATTCCAGTTGTCAAGTAGGTGAAATTAAAAAAGCAATCAGATGTTATTTTCATTAGTTCACAGAGCGAAGCACTTCACAATAGCAAATCTTGTTGTCACTAAAACACAACAAGAGGGAAGGTGGAAAAGTAAGGGGCACGATTTGGAAATATATTAAAACTTTCAAAAAGAATGATCTTCAAATGCCTACTCGTTAAAACTTAGCTATGTAGACAACTCCTTCCTAAGAGGAAAATAAAGAAGAAAAGAAAAACTATATAGACACCCACACTTCAACCCACAAACAATATACTAATGTAACTAGACATAAGGAGTCTTCCATAATGACATTTTTCTATAATCTAACAGCTCATGGATGTAAATTTGACCATCAAATGTCTTCAAAATATGTTGAGATATGTTGTGCAAGTATCATTGTTTTGCACATATAACCATGCAAGTACAGATGCAGATGAGAAATGTTTTAAAGCCTTGTTGAAACAGAAAGATCCACAACATACATTTACAGCAAATGCCCATATTTTCATGTGAAGGTGTTGAAACTCAAAGTGGATTTTGATCATGATTGTGATACATCCCCCAATAACTATACCAGTTCAGTTAATATGCATCAACTAAAACATATTTTGCCATGATACATGTTTGCAAAGTTAGTGTGGAATCATGTTAAGACCACACTTGCTTATAATACAAGGAGAAGAATCTCACGGTGCAAGCATGCTTCTCAATCGATGCTTACACGATGAGCTACAACAGGGATATTAACAAATCCTTCAAGGAGAACTCAATACAAAGGCTTTAAAGATGGAAAATAGCAATGATGCGACAAGTAAAAAAAAAACCCAGACTATATGTTAAGTTACTGGTAAGAATTCCACATTAGAACCTGAAGGATACAGAAAAAGACTAAAGAAACACATTGACAACAAATTACCAATTTTATACCTGCAAGATCAGGATGAGTTCGAGTGAGTTTAAGCCAATCCATTTGGCTATAACCTTTCTCAAATGGAACCTTACTCCGAGCCACAGGCTTCCTAGCAGAAACTTTCTTTTCATCAAAATTCTTAGCTGAAGTTCCAGCATTTCCAGATGCCACTTGTCTAGGAACTCCACTTGACTCTCCCCGAGCTGATGCATCAATAACATTGAAAGACAGAGAACCAACGGTTCTCTCGTTCTTGGAATCAGCATCAGGCAAGCTATCTCTCCACACAACACCACCACCCTGACTACTATTAGTGCCGTTGGAAAATCCATCTTTAATAATTATGCCCCCAATATCCGATGCAAGATTCTCCGCCTCGAGTCCATTTTTATCAACAGGCAATCCCACCTAGTTTCATGAACATAAATTACAAGGACTCCGGGTAGTCGAAATTATTTCATGAAAAACAAAGGGTAGCTGTAATTAAATAATTAATTAAAAAAATAAGGAAATCAGTGCAAATGTAAATACCTGGCAAAAGGTGAAATCATTGTCATTATCCATTTCACGCTAAATTTAATTTTTTTTAAAAAAAATAGCTCAAGCAAGATAGATTTCCTGGCAAGTCGTACAACAATGATCAGCTACAGTTCTTCAATCGTTTATAGATATAAAAGAAGCGATAAATGAACTAATTTAGCTGAATTTGACGCCTTTTTTAATTGTTTAGGTATATCTAAACAGCAACGGCAACAACAAGAAGAAAAAAACGCAGAAAAAAGAATTCAAAATTATCAGAAACAAAATGAAATACTTCCATTGGGAAAGAGCCGGTGAACTGGTGTAGAACGCTGTTGTTTTAAAGGTAGAGATGATCAATTCATTCCTCTTTATCTGTTTCCAGCAGTCAAAAGCTCGAGGGAAAAGGGTTTATTCGTTTTTTTCGGTTTTGTGGTCTGTTTTTCACCGATTAGGTCAAGTGGCCAGTTAAAACTTGCCACGTAGTTTGGATTGAGTTTTGTGCTTTGCTTTCCTATTTCGTTTTTTTAAGCTTTCCTACCGACGAATTGCATCGCCAAAGTCGATTTTCCTTTTGTGCTGCATTTAAAATAGAATAGAGTTAATTTATTAACATAAAACAATTCATGTTAGGGAAAACATTTTTGGCTATTATTAGTATTTAGTCTCTCATAAATTACAGTAAATTAGAGCAGTGAATTTTCTTTCCACAATTAAACTTTTTTAAATTTAAATGAACACCAAATTGCATGTTTTTAAGAAAAAAAATTGAATTAAATTACATGTAACTAAAATAAAAAACACAAGTAAATTTGACAGTGATTTTTAAATTTGATTAGAAAGTATATTTTAATCTCTAATTTTTTAAGCTATTAGATAATTAGTCCATTTAATTTTAAAAACATTAATTTTAGTGTTAAATTTTATTTTCATTATTTTCTAGTTTTTTTCTATGAAATGAGAAAGAAGAGTTCATCAAATTATTGTTCAAAAAGAAAAGATTATTGTTATGATGATTTTGACTATTAGAACAATTGATTTAAATATTAAATGGTTTCATGAGGAGAGTTTAAATTAGATTTTTTTTATTTTGAAAATGTTTAAAAATATATTTAAGCTTGAATTTTTTTTTGATTTCGAGTTGTTTTTAGGTAGTTTTTTTCTCTTTGTGTGTGTTTTAGGGGTTATAAGTTGGTTTAATAAGGTTTCTAAAGTGTTTTCTATATATTTTAAATCAAAATAAGTTTTTTTAAAAAAAAAATCAGTATTTTTATTTTTACGATTACTACAATGGTTGAAATCTAGGGATTTCAAACAATACATCATCTTTCTTTCTAGTTGAAATGTAAAAAAAAAGATCAGATTATATTTATTTTGTTAATTATATCAAATTTGATTTTCAAATTTTTAATTGATATATATTTTGTTTGAATTTTTTCTTTTAAAAATTAATTTAATTTGATTTTTATATTAATCTTATTCTCATTTTTATGTTTATTATTTGTTTTTCTCTAATTAAAAGGCAATATTCTGGTAAATTACGTTGGAAATGAATGGTGAGATTATAAAAAAAAAATGTTTAAATAATATATTTGCTTGGAAATTGAAAAACACAAATTCCTTTTGAATAATTTAAGCATAAATTTTACGCTAATCAAGAAAACATGGCGAATAAGAAATTATCATTAATTAGGAAAATACAAGATTTTTTTTTGCATATTTTATACTATAGATCAAGTCAAATTTTTAAAAATTTTTTGACATAAAAATAAATATTTAGGCTATGATAATCTAAGTTAGCTTAACAAATATGTGACCTAGAATATAATACTAGGATACCCCTGTACAATGGAAATAAAGAAAAAAACATAAATTTTAAGACTCAATAATCAAATGTCAAATAATAAAATTTAAAAAAAAAAATATCAAAGAAAAAAAATCAAATCAACCTGAATTCACCCTACCAATCCACCACCGTAACATGATATTAAGATAAAAAATTATTAAAAAAATATTTTAAAAAATCAAAGTTAAATAAATTAAAAACATTAAAAAAAAATTAATCTAATATTTATTAACTTAACTAACTTCTAACTCATGATAATTTTATAGAAAAATAAAAAATAAAAAAGCTCACTCTAACAACCTTATTTCAAATGTTAAAATTAAAAAAAAAATTACAAAATTATTAGTCAACCTTAGCTAGCTTAATTAACTTTTCATGTGAGATATTTCTAGGGAAAACAAAGCAAAAAAAATTAGAAAATTAAAAAAAATATATTTAAAAAACCCAAAATTAAATTAGATTAATATTCAATATCAATAATTAAAATTATCGAAAACAACTAAAAAATTATGAATATAATTTTTAATTATAATTTTTTTAGATAAATAATAATTAAAATAATGAAAATCATATTTAATATAAAAACTAATAATAAAAAATTAAATTTAAAAATAAAATAAAATAAAAATGTATAAAAAAGTGCAACTAAACGAACGAGGACCGCAATTAAAAGAAAAAAAATGGAAATATAGCTGTGAATTTTCGCTAATCGAGTGTGGGTTTTAAAGTAAGAAGGGAGAAAAGAGATGGGAGAAATATATTCCAA